CACGCAGCTCACTTAAGGATTAACCTGCAGAAACCAAACATTTACTCAAACAAGACTTCCTACACATCTAAAACCTACAAACAACAAATTATTGAATTCTAGGTACTTAACCAAACATTTTCAAACAAAAAAGAGTATATATGTTAACAAAACTTGCATTTGACTTACCAATTAACAATGGACACTTTCATAAGGCAGATGCAGGTAGGCAACGTCTCGAATATATTGCTCTAGCCATATAATACCGAAACCACAAGCCTACTGCAGCTCTATCTCTATCGGTGGGAGGTAGAAACTCTGTGCTTCCCGTCGTCAAACGCGCCAAGCACAAGCATACGAGAGGACCACAATCCTCTCTGGCTCCCGGCGATTGTTGTGGCGCAGTCTCGTCTCTGACAACTGTGACATTGAACTTCTTTGGCTTCTTATGTCCAGAATGAGTCCAATAATTAATCACATCCAAGAATTTAGCCAAATGAGAGCTCCATCCCTTGATCATATCTCTCAAATCAGACAGTGATATATAATTTATCATGCTGTCATACACTATTATCTTCAGGTATGGGAGCTGAAGTTGGACGAGAAGCCAATGACGACGTTCCAAAATAGGGATAAACACCTGCAATCATAAGTAATAATTCATTTATTTGCGCACTTATTTATGAACACCTTTAAAAAATTAAAAAATAAACACTAACCTTATCGACCTCCCACCATGCAGGATAAAGTTTAACTTGTCCATTGCCCAACGAAAATGATTCATCTCGTTGATTCTTCAAGTGAACTGCGTGAAAAGCCACCGACATTATTGTATATCGCGATTTTTTTTTTTATTTTTCCTAAGCTTCCTTATTATTAGTAGACGTGACACCCACGCATCGATATGCTGTTTTACAAAAAAATACATATATTAGTGAATTACATTAATTTTTTAAAAAATTAATCAAAATCATATATAAGACAAATATAAGACTTACCTCCCCATCGAAATAGCTACTGTCTTCAACCCCTAATAGCACACCCCACCAAGACCGATCAAGCAACAAAAACATTTCATCGTTGAGTTTGCTTATGTCAGTGTAACACCCTTGGCTCCGCTCATGTAGATAAAAATCAACTGCGGTCTTAGCCCAAAGGGTACTATCCACAATTGTTTCCGGTAGTTGTCTTCTCTCCACTTCAGATACCGGAAGGGTACTAGCCGGTAACTCATACGTGAGCCAACTCTCATCCATCATGTCCGGAACCGGTGGGGGTTTCTCAATACTTCGATATATTACCCCATGTGAATCGGACTCTGAAATTGTGGGAGGGACCTCTTCAACGATGACAGTGGCCTCTTGAACGGTGGGAGGGACTCTTGAGGGAGGATAGGGGCCTCTTGAACGATTGGAGGGGACTCTTAAGAGATGACAGGTGAGTCGGGCTTCTTCTTGCGGAGTCTTCGCACCATTGGGGTGAACGGAGACGTAATAGCACGTCCACGCCGTCTGATGCGTGAACTTCGTCGTGCAAGGAAAACCCGACGTAAAGCATCCACCTTATCGGGCCGCTAAAAAAAATTAATACATAAATCAGTAAATAAACAGACATGATATTAAACAAAGACAAATATGTTTCAAACTAGCATTGTATTCACCCAAGTCATTATTCTATCATAGTTCACAAAATGCTCAGATAACATTCCAGAAGTAAGCACTTATATAAACATTTAAAAGGACAACATATATAAACATTCCAGAAGAAGAATAGTTTACTTTCGCAACACGAAACTTAAAATCGCAACGCGGAAATGGCTATCGCAATGCGAAATGAAAATCGCAATGCGAAATAAAAATCGCAACGACAAAATCGCAATGCGAAATGAAATCGCAACGACAAAATCGGAACGCGAAACACAAATCGCATTGCGATTTTCATTTCGCGTTGCGATTTTGTTGTTGCGATTTCATTTCGCATTACGATTTTGTCGTTGCGATTTTCATTTCGCATTGCGATAGCATTTCTGCATTGCGATAGTCATTTTCGTGTTGCGAAAATAAACTATTCTTCTTCTGCAAATTGAAACTTGAATGGATTGCATTACTTCGACCAAAAGACAAAAACAAAACCAAAAACAAATACTAACAAAAACAGTTTAGCAGTATTGGCAGCAACCGAATGAATTACGAGTATGAAAAATCTTAAACTTACCTCGTTGCGTAAAGTATGAACCTCATTCTGCAACGATGCTACCATCTCACGTAGAGCGGCTACCTCACCGCGTAATGTAGACACCTCAACACGCCATGCACCATCGTCTTTGCGTAAAGTATCGACCTCCGCACGCAAGGCATTGACCTTATCACGTAACTTCCCTAACTCATCCCGTTGAGGTAGAGGTGGAAAACAGTGAGATAAACGTCGTGGCATCTTTGCCGGTCGCCTATCTTGCGGTGATGGTGGAGAAGAGGCTCGATGATGTGACAGAATAGGTGATAGCTGTCGTTGTGGAGGTGTATAGTCGGGTCGATCAGATGATGGCTCTGGGTGAGGTGATAGCTCTGGGCGAGGTGATGGCTCCCGAAAGTTGCTCATCAACCGTTCCATCAAAAAAACGCTTACTAGCTTGCCACCAATCAGTGGCAAGCTCAGCTTCTGTGGGTATCAGCCTCTGTTGAGGAGTGTTGGCCTCCTAACAATATAAAAGCTCAAACAAAGTTAAACGTGTACTAGTAATAACTTGTTTATAAACATATGGTAGTATTTATGTTAACTTACTTTATTTATTGTCGTATACCGTAGTAAATCTTCCCATTGCAATGTCTGTTTCCTCTTCTAGGAAATAGCCCTGGGAATATCATTTGAAGTTTTTATTGCATATGTCTTCATGGCGGGAAAGACCTCAAATATCCAAATCTACAAACAATATAATAACAAACATTAGTAATTGTTAAATAATTACTTATAATTTTGGAAACATTATATAAAAATTCTTACCTTAAAGGCCCAAATAAAGCCTGTCAAAGTTTATTTGGAACCATCGCCATGCAAACTTTTTCGATCATCCAAGACAGACGAAATCTTATTCCATGTAGCTTTCCATAAATACGAGCCCCACGGAAACAGGTTCCACGCATTTAGGTCTTCTACCAATTTGATTAAATCATTTGGAATAGGTTGTCTGGCCTCTCTGCCTAAAAAGCTAGCATGCAAAAGAATTAGAAGGCATACTCGGACAACGTCGACGTCATCCATCCGAGTAAAACCATCTTTCTTATTCAACAATCTTGTCAGGTCTTCTACGTGTAGATTCGACCTCTCCAGCTCAAGAAAAACCCGGGATAGCCATGATGGGCGGGTAATGTGTCTAGTGTACCGACCTACATCATCGTGTACGAAGCGTAGACCGGTGATTAAGCAAAACTCCTCCCGCCCAAAACACGTATACGCCGGTGGAAAATCAAACCATATCTCTTCATCACGACGTTGTATAGTCTTTGGTAGATCGCTAGTCATGGTTTGAAGAAACAGGTGTGTCAACATCGCATCTCCACCGGGATCTTGTACTTTCAGCCATGGCCCGAAGCATGTATCCTCAAACATTTTTCTTTGTGCAGGTGAAAGCTTCGACGCAATTGTTTTGGCCAGGCTGACTTTATTTCTTAAGGTCAATTGAGCCGAATAAAAGTTCTACAAAAACAATAAACATACTAAGTTAGATATACCAAAAACTACACTGTGAAGATATACCAAAAACAATAATAAACATAAAGAGTAGTAGTTTATTCTTCAAACTTATTGCAACACTGTAAATTTCGTATTTGTCTTTGTTTTTTGGTTGAAGTAATGCAATTCATTCAAGTTTCAATTTGCAGAAGAAGAATAGTTTCTGAAAATGAAAATCGCAACACGAAAATGACTATCGCAACGCGAATTTGACTATCGCAACGAGAGAATCGCAACGCGGAACTAAAATCGCGTTGCGATTTGCATTTCGCGTTGCGATTCTCGGTTGATTTAATAAGCAATCTAAGTGAAATGGTTAATCTATTATTGAAATTACCAGTAAACTTATCATTAATTTCAATATGAAAAACCTAATAATAATGCAAAAATTTCAAAAAGAAAATAATTAAAAAAACTAACCATCGTTGGTTGATTTGGTTGATTTTTCATTTCTGATTGTGAGGGTGGCTCTGAGAGATGGAGATAGACGGATTTCACCGGAGATGTGGACGGATTTCGTCGGAGATGGGTGAGAGAGTGAGAGATGGAGATGGGACTGAGTTGTGATTTTAGGTTTTAGGTTATAAGTTACGATTACGGGATATACTGTGGACGGTTCAGTGTTCCAATATATTAATATTCGTGTTTGGAATTTAAAAATAAAATACTTGGCTAGGATACTAATGGCGCTTTGAAAATCGCATTGCGATTATGTATTATCGCGTTGCGAAAGTCAGTATCTCGTTGCGATTTTGTATTATCGCATTGCGATAGTAAGTATCGCATTACGATAGTTAGTATCGCATTGCGATTTTCCCAATTCGCGTTGCGATTTACTTATTCGCATTGCGAATTGGGAAAATCGCAACGACACTGTAGATAATCGCAACGCGAATTTGCGATAATGGAAATCGCGTTGCGAATTAGCGATCGCATTGCGATTTTGTTGGTCATTTTGGCAAATCTGAAAAAAAGTTGGTTAAAATCGTATATTATATGGGAATTTTGGTCACTGAGGCGATTTTCTCTTTATGAAATCATCGAGTGAACATAGCACATTAAAATCATACATACATGGGAAAAGAACATAAACAAACAAGAAAAAGAAAATAGGATACAAATTTGATAGATCTGCAGTGACATATTAAAGGATCTTCTAGAAGTTAAAAATATCAATAGAAAACATACTATTCTATAGTCTAAAATACCAGATTTAGTGCAACACATGCATTGATAGATATTCAAGTTCAAAATTATAATAACAGAATTTGACAAAAGCATCAGTGTCATACCCTCTAGAGACTGAGCAATTGATGGATTGTTCTCCAGCAATGCCTGACGACAATACAATAGTAACAATAAGAATATTTCAATGGAAAAGGACATTCATGGTAAGTTTGTTAAAAGCATTTGGTGTCGAACGTTTTATAAGCAAAAAAAGATACTAAGTAGACCTAATGTTTCTTGAGAGAAGGCATACCTCCTGCAGTTCCAATAATGAATCTAAAGTTTTCTTTGATGAAGTAATAAGGTCTGAATATGCAGCACTAACTTCTTCATCAGAAGCACAAAATGAAGACCTAACAGGGTCCTGGTAGAAAAGCCATTGTATAAATCTTATTCGAATACATAAACAAAACAGTCAAATCGAGGAAAGAACACAAGATACACAATACACAAAGGAAAATAAAGGTACCTGCGGCAGTCTATTTGAACAGGAGAAGGCTTTCTGAAGTAAGAACCTGAACTCAAGAGTTTTATCCCAAAGAGCCTTGGCAAAATAAGGAAAAGGTTTGAGAATTTTATGATAGCTCCCACAAACACATACACACATAAACTCACATATAAAGGGCAAAATTATTGATAATAATAATTACAAGTTATAGGAAATAAACCAAACATCATTCAAGTCAAGTTTATGTAAACGCTAAGAAAGATGATATATATATATACCTTCTGGTTCTTCACTGCTTCACCCTTTTTAACATCTTCATCCTTATGATGCTTGAGATTCCTCAATATATCTCTAATTTAAAAAAAAAAAAAAAGTAAAAACTAAAACAGTAACCTTAAAGAAAACACAATTCAAATTTCCCCAAACCCAAACCTATTCATGTGTATTGTAATAAAACGATGTCAAATGGAGCAGAAATAAAATTAGAAACGCAGATAAAGCAATGAATATGCATTAACATACTGTTCCTTGTTGTGAAGTTCCTTATACTCTTTTTCAAGCTCTTCCATCTCACCATCCTTGTCCTCTTCTTCTTCATCATCATCATCGTCTCCGTCTTCTCCACCGTCGTCGTCATCATCATCTTCTAATTCGTCTTCTTCATCGTCGTCGTCATCATCAATATCTTCTTCGCTATCATCTTCATCTACTTCAGCTTCTTCTTCTTCCTCTTCGCCATTAACCAATAATGCATCATCTTCCGAATCGTCGAAGTCCTCCATGTCCACATCTTTGCTTCTAGCTTTTTTTGAATGTTTCGGATACAACCCCATTTTCCCCACAACTCCGCGAACTCCCAAAGCACAATTAAAGTTCTAACCTCAAGTTAGGGAACCGAATAGGAAAAACAAACAAAGGCTGAGATCAATAGAGAGATATGGGAATGTGTGTTTTACGGGTTTGAAATTTCTTTAAAAAAACCCGGCACAAGCGAGGGTTTAGGGTTTAACCCGATGTTTTATCTTTGGGAGGCAGCAAAGAGGCTGAGTTGCGGGTCGGGTCTGGTTATGCCCAAATTTCTATATGGGCTTAACTCCATAATTTGGTGCGAGTAGTTGTGGATGATATGGGCCATTGGTAACCAGGCAGGCATTATATATATAAGATGCTGAGATAAATGGTAGCCCATATTGGGTCCATAAAACATGTCATTCCTAAGCATGAAATCTAAAAGGAAGGACCAAATTGATGAAAATGTGAATGTAAAGGGTTAAAATTGTTACCATCCCAATAAAAAAATTAGCCTCGTCTTCATTCCGTTACAATTTAACGGTAAGTGATTTAATTGACATAAAATTGAAAGTTAAATCACCTAATTCATAATTATTTTTAGTGACTAGAATAAATTTGATCCTATAATTCAGTGACTAAATAGATAGTTTACCCTTCATCAGATTTCATGCAGCGATGTTTGATTGGTGTCTAACCAATGTTAGCCTGCTCAATCTTTGAGAATTTACATCTTCAATGGGCGCCATTAATGTGAGGACCTCAAAATTAATTCTAACCAATTGCCCCACAATAATTTATTTATTTATTTATTTTAGGGTAAATTATGTATTTAATCATCCATCTACTCTCATGATTTCGTTTTAGTCGCTTGATTGTTTTTAAAATCATGCATAAACTTACGTTTTTGTTACAATTTGGTCATCCGTTATGAAAAATAAATATAACTAGTGACGTGATATTTTTATTTTTTCAGTGATGATGTGATTTTATCGTATGATGACACATCAACATTACCATTAAAATTTTAACAATAATTGACCAAAACATAACAAAAAAACGTAAGTTTAAGTATGATTTTAGGGGGAATAGTTGAGTGGCCAAAATGAAATATTATGAATAATTGAGTGTCTAAATACATAATTTACATTTTATTTTTCTGCAGTGATGCCTGTCATAGAAATCATGTTGAAATTAATGGGCTTGTCATTCGTGGACTAACCATCTCCTAGCTTTACTTCACCAGCAACCGACCTCATCATGATAATGCTCAATCTACTTTACGAGTGTTTTATTTTGTTATCATTTTGTTGCTAATTACTATATGTTATCTATTTGATATTGTTGATTTGCGTTGTTTATTTTCAATTTTGTGTAGGATTCTATTTTCCAAAAAATAGTGTTTGAAGGGTGAGTTCTACAGGTTTTTTTCTTTCTAGAACCAAGGTTGGACACATAGACATGACTTTGGCATGAAGATATCGATGTGGAAGAATCTGCAATCCAGTCAATGACAACTTCTGGAAGGTAAGCCAGTCAGGAGAATCAAGAAGGAATGACAGGCGGACAAAAACTCTTTAGGGCTTAAGAATTGTAATTGTATTTAAATGTTTGAGAATTATTATTTTAATTAAAAATTATATCTATATTATTTAGGATTTTAGATTGCTATTAATTAAGATTTAAGTATTTGAACGTTCTTAGGATTATCTTTAGGTGTTTTATTTCTTTTAGGTATTTTATTTTCTTTAGTTTATCTCATGCTATAAATACTCATTAAGGTGAAACTTGACAAATGTCTTGCTTTTGTCTTTTATTTGCTTTAGATTTTTGGTCTCATAAAAGGCTATTTTCTTCTTCATTTTTGTTTATTTTCTTCTACTTTGTTTTATATGCTAAGTATGATTTCTATCATGCTTAGCTAATTTTCCAATTAACCGATAGCTAAGCAATAACTCAATCCATTTCATGAGAATCGAAGAGCACTTCATACATTCGAATATCTTTTTTTATTTTTTGTTGTTGAATTATGTTTCGATATAACAAATTTAAGGAAAAATGTTTTTGGACTTGAATTGAAATTATTCAAAGTCCATTAAATTTGGATTTGAGCAAAAATGCTAAAGTGACACTGGTGTACCGATACACCATGCAGTGTATCCATACACCCTATGACTGCTCAAACATCAAATGTAATTAGTGTATCGATACACCCTGCATTATATCCATACATTGGTGTACCGATACACTCTGCAGTGTATTCATACACCCTGGCTGCAACGGCTAGTTTATTTGAATTTAATAAAGGTATACCGATTCACTATGAAAGTGTAATGACAACCCATGTTATGGGCAACCTATTTTTGCAGAAAAATCATCCCCAAACGGCTTCAAAACATCTCAATGGCTAGATACGACTTCAAACACATTCCAAGCTTTAAATACAAGCTGAGGACACTTGAAGAAGATAGAGAACAACTATCCAAGCAATCAAACACAAGAGAAGAGTTTTTCATTCTTATTTCATCTTTGTCTTGTAAATATTTATGTTCTTGTGATCTTAATTCTTGTAAACACCTACCTTAGAGAGGTTTTCTTGTTTACATTTCCTTTCATTGTAAAGGGATTTTGGTTCTAGCTTAGCCTACTAAAAGCTAGGGAAAGGTTTTAGTTTATCCCATGAAAAACTAGGAAGTTTTGTAAAGGTTATCTCTTTGTCCTTGAAAAAGAAAGAACAAATTAGTGAATTTGTTGAAAAATCCTTGGTGATGAGCTAAGGTAGTGGATGTAGACTTGGTTGAGAAGTCGAACCACTATACATCGCTGTGTAATTTTCTATCTTTCAATCTCCTTACTCCCTAAACACAAAAACCATTCCGACCCCTCTTTACAAACTGTTCCGGTTATCGATTTGTGCTTCCGAAAATCCCAACAATTGATATCATAACTTAACTCGTTAGAAGGCTTAACATCCTTGAGACGATCCTATAAGACGCTCTACCAATTCTTGACACAACCGAGAAGATGGCTTCTACCTCCGGCTCGTTCCACATGGAAGACTCCCAACCGATTGACAAGCCTCCATATTTAAATGGAGCAAACTACCGTCATTGGAAGAAATTAATGAATACATGCATCCAATCCAATGATCTTGATGCATGGGATATGATCGAGAACGGCTATTATTCTCCAAAGAATAAGGAGAATAAGTGGAGTGACCAAGAACGAACGAAATCTCAACTTAATGCCAAGGCCAAACACATGTTGTTTTGTGCATTTGGTCCAGATATATATGAAGGAGTTTCTTCTTGTTCAAGTGCCAAGGAACTTTGGAATAAGCTCGAAAAGCTTCATGGAAACAAGAAAGAAGAACCAGCAAAGGTGATGTCTCTAATGGCTCGTGAAGAGCCCGAGGTATCTTCTAACTCAAATGAATTTAATTCATATTCTTTTGATGAGGTACAAGATGCTTATAATAAGTTGTATTTGGTATTTGAGACAATGAATTCCAAATATACGAAATTAATTTCAAAACTCAAAATTGAAAAGAAATCGATTTTGAAAGCAAAAGTTGGTTTTGAAAATCAAAATGAAATTTTGAAAAATGATTTAGAGCTTTCAAAAATCAAAATAAATGATTTAGAAAAAGAAAATTTTGATTTAAAAGTTAAGCTTGAAAGTTTAACAAAAGAAAAAGAATTAATTTCTAAAAACAACTTATTATGTTTAAAAATGGAAAAATGCTCACATTGCCATTATCATGGTCATAATGAACATACTTGTCCTTTAAAGAAAGGAAAACATTTTAAAATTAGACAAGTATGAGTTCCTAAGGGAACAAGGGGCATTGAAACTAATGTTCAAGGATCCAAAGCAATTTGGATACCAAAATCTACTTAAATGTCTCTTGTAGGTGTGTGGGAGCAATGATGATGAAAGTGATGATATTCAAGATGCTCTAGCCACACATGAAAAAGGAATGGGTAACCTCTAAGCTTAATGCTTTTAATTTTGGTTATTTGGTTGCTCATTTGATTTTAAGCATGCATGAGTTTTTGTTTTAAATGATTATGATTATTGTTTTAATCTCATGTATGTTAAAAAGGTTTTATTATGAACATTTTAAAGTTTTAATGATTTTTCAGAATTTTTAGTTCATCATAATAAAATTTTGGTCAAAATTGGTTTTAATGCAAATGATATCTCTCTAACAATTGATATCAATATTTCAAACTCTTTGATTTTACAAATTTTAAAATTTTGACCTAAATTTGAATGTTTATTCATGTGGTTTAAATGAAAATGATACCTCTCTAACAATTGATATCAAAATTTTCAAATGCATAACATTTTTTGAAGACTTTATGCATATGCACTTAATTTCAATAATTGATATTGCATAAAGTATTTTAGATTTGGATACATTGAATTTCATATGCTACTAACATGTTTGTTATTCTTTGTTGAAATTCAATTTTGTTTAAGTGTCAAGTTTTAAAGCTAAATTTTGTTTGGAATGCATTTATTGAGGGGGAGCTTTGATTTTTCAAATGATTTTTAAAATGTCAAATTTACTACTTATTCTCCAAAGTTATTTTAAACTTCAAAGATTGAATTATTTTTGATATAACAAAAAGGGGGGAGAAGTTTGGTTTGAAAAAATTAATTTCTTAATGAAAAAGGGGAGCTTAACATTTTCATATTTTTCCAACAATTGGTAACATTTGGTATCTTTTTAACAATTGATATCCTTTTGTTAACAATTGATACTTTTCATTAAACATTTTATTAAGGGGGAGTTTTGCCAAAAATAATTTTTCAAATGTTTTGTTATATCAAAAAGGGGGAGATTGTTGAATTATGTTTCGATATAACAAATTTAAGGCAAAATGTTTTTGGAATTGAATTAAATTTATTCAAAGTTTTAAAAAATGTTTCAAAAATAATTCAAAGTCCATTAAATTCGGATTTGAGTAAAAATGCTAAAGTGTACCGATACACTCTGTAATGTATCCATACACTGGTGTACCAATACACCATGTAGTGTATCCATACACCATACAGTGTATCCATACACCCTATGACTACTCAAACATCGAATGTAATTAGTGTACCGATACACCCTGCAGTGTATCCATACACTGGTATATCGATACACCCTG